GCCCTGCGCTACCAAGAGTGACTATATCCTGCACATGCCTTGTTTGACTCTTGCCTTTGGTCTGGTTGGGACTTTTTCCTAATAAACTGTTATATTTCACATTCGCGATTGAATCCTCCTTTTGTACCCGTGAGAGAACGATCTGACCTACCTATGGATTCAGCGAATGCCTCGGATCTACGGGACTTTTTGTCTAACAACAACGCATGCATGGATCGTCAAGAGGAACAGATGTTAGCTACGGGTCGAGCTGTGCAAGCCTTGGTAGCGCAGGTGTCCGAGCTCACAACCCAATTCCAACAACTTGTAGTGGGTCGCGAGGCGGCACGCATGTTAGCCAATCTACGGCAGGAAAACAGACCCGTCTCGGATTATTCCATTGAGTTCCGGACACTGGCAGCTGAGTGCAAGTGGAACGAGGAGGCGCAGTGGGACATGTTCCTGCATGGGTTGGCTGACCGGATTCAGAAGGAGATTTTTACGATGGCATTACCCACTGATCTTGATGGACTCATCGAATTAGCTCTTCGGGTAGATGCCCGTCTACATCAACGTGATCAGCGAGGACGCCGCCAGCTGGCGTCGGAACTTCCTGAGTATCCCACTACCAGTTCCTGTAATACGGTCAGTCACACCTCGGATTATGAACCCATGCAGGTGGGAAGAGCTCGGCTTTCCCGGGAGGAGAGAGACCATCGGAGAGCAAGGGGACTGTGTTTGTATTGCGGCGCTGCGGGTCACTTCCTGGCTGACTGTCAGGTAAAAGGCCAAGCCCGGCAGTAGAGCTGAGGTTACTGTCGGGTGGATTGTCCCTGGGAAAATCCTCGTCCTCAACTCTCCTCCTGGTAAGACTGCAATGGGCAGCCGGAATCCACAACTGCCAAGCCCGGCTGGATTCCGGGGCTGAAGGTAACTTTATGGACTACAACTTAGCACAACACCTTCAGATCCCCATTGTTCCTCTCACCCATATTATCTCTGTCAACGCACTCAACGGACAGGCTCTTCCTAGCATCACAACTCGGTGGGCACTTTTTTCCGGTCATTTTGACTTTTCTCTTTCCTACCGTCCGGGTCCAAGAACATCAAACCCGACGCCTTATCTCAAATATTTGATTTTTCCGAGCGCCCGTCTACTCCCGAGTGTATCATACCTGAGAACCTTCGTCCAGAGGTGCCGTCACACTTGGAGAAGAGCCCATGAGACTCTCCTTCAGGTGGGAGCGCGCACTAAGGCTCAGGCCGATTGCCACCGGTCGAAGCCTCCCGTCTACGTCATTGGTCAAAAAGTGTGGCTTTCTTCCAAGAATATTCCTCTCCGCCCCGTTTGTAATAAACTAGCCCCAAAATTTATTGGCCCATTTACTGTCACTAAGATTCTTAGCCCAGTGGGTTTTTCATTCACCCATTAATCCGCCAGCCCCGGTTCCCCCCCCACCGCGCCTCGTAGATGGGGAACCAATTTATTCGGTCAACCGTATTCTGGACTCGAGACGGAGGGGACATGGATTTCAGTACTTGGTGGACTGGGAAGGTTACGGTCCAGAGGAGAGAAGTCTCTCTTTTTGGATTACAAAGAAAGAGTCCAAAAAAGTTTGGTATTATTCTCCACTTAATCTGGAAGATTCTGTGTGACAGGCATGTAAAGCGACCAACCACAACCACAGTGCTATTTAGGGGCCTGAACCTGAAACTTACCACAATAATAGACAAGTGTGTGCAGGGACTAGTTCAAACAATGGTGCAGTAGTCAATGCAAAAGTTTCAAAGTGCGTCACGCAAAACCAAAACCCTAAGCAACTGTCAATGCTTTGTCACTACGGGATGGTCTGTTTGCTTGTCATCTGAGGCTCATCCTATTGCCTGTAGCTGCTTAATAGTTCATACCAACCTAATCAGACACATTTACACATCTCAATTTGCTAAACGGAACCCAACTTGATTTTATTAGTTCACTCTTTTAGAGATAAACCTAAACCTTTCTCATAAATCGCAAGTCTAAAAGAACAGAGTGGAAGAAAACAAGGGGTAAAAAAATGTGAGTATGTGAGAGCGAGGGTCCAGGAGCAGACTGTGGGAGTGTGTATACTGCCAGCGTGATTTTGGCTCTTTTTCCTGGTCAGCTGATGTGGAGGGCGGGTGCTGATTGGTGCGTCCAGCTGTGCACAGCTGCAGCTGATCTGTGTGAGACAATGTTGTCAGTGTTTCCTGTGCTCCACTTCTCCAGAAAGAGAGAGAGAGTGTGTGTGTGTGTGTGTGTGTGTGTGTGTGTGTGTGGTTTTGGAAGACACTCACTGGATGTTAGTGGATCTGCAGAGGCAGACCTGGCCAGGCAGACAGATACAGCTGGGGACAGAATGAGATGACGATGAGAGGGCACACACTTACTGGACTTAATCAACAGTTTAAGTCTTTTTCTGATCTTAGACCTTAAAAAGTAATTGTATCGCTTTTGATGACCCCAAATTAGTCCTAGCTGTGAACCATTTAAAATAAGCTAGCGTTCACTTTAAGAAGTGGTTCTCCGGAGGATACAGCTTCAGGTTGGAATCCCCTGAAGCTCTATGCCGGTTTGGGATCTTCAGGCATGGGCTGTACCAACAGTCTACTCCACTCCATAATGAGAAGAAACCATTCACGCATCTTTTCTCACCAGCAGGAACAACTTCTCTTGGAAATCACTGCACCGGAAGAGGGGATGGTCACCAGCGAACCCGTTATCATCATGGTAACCAGAGCTTCTTACCTCCCAACCTTTGATAAAAAGCAGCAATTACTGAAAACTTCCAGAATTCTAAAACATTTCAAAACTGCAGTTTTTGGAATTAGAATGGAATTTGCATGCTAAGTTCTTCACTCTCAAAATTTCACTATAACTCTGACATAGAACACTCATTGATTTAATGGAATTTAGTTTTATGTTTAGTTTTATATATAGAATCTTTTTTTGTTTTTTCAGTAGTTTAGTTTAGTTTTTTTTTTTTTTTTTGATTGGACATATGTATTCAACCTTTTTTTGCATACATAAAGTCATGGAAAGTGATGTATACCATATAGCAGAGCTCAGCTGCCTGATTTGTAACTATATCCTAGCCCAGCTCTGTATATAAGGTTGGACTTCCTAAGTTTAAGATGCTGAGGCCTGTTCTTTGTATGTGGACAACTGCATTTAAATAGATGTGTCATCATGAGCTCAAATCTGCTTAGGATCAAGTTTATTGAACATAAACAGGATGAACAGTGATACTGGACATCTGCTCCAGTCACTGTGCCATTCCTACAAGAGCACCAATGAGAGTTTTACATTATTTTATATATTTAATTTGATAAAGCAATGTTTTAAAGAAGAATCTGAATCTTGCATGCATTGCAAAATTTGCACAGCATGTCATTATACATTTTACATGTCTATGTATAACACATAAAACCTGTGCTAAAACACAAAAGCAAGAATAAAACATGGTGAAATGGAAAAAATGAAGCACAATTTATTCTAATTTTACTTTCTACCATCTTTCTTCTTTTTTGTCCGCTTTTCTGATATAAAGTCCAGAAATGCTGCATAACCTTCTCTCATTACTTGGTTAACTGGTAATGAGTTATGTGATTTACAATAGTTTTATATAGTAGCTATATATTAAGTGTCAGCAACAAATCACAGTAGTTCTGTGTTTTTTAGTATTATTATATGTACTTTTTACACTTTATTTGAAGGTGTCCTTGTAATTATACATTTAAGTACTGAGTAATATTAATTAACTACATGTACTATATGGTTAGGTTAGGATGAGGGCTTGGGTTAAGGTTAGTTGCATGTAATTATCCATAATTTATTGTTATTAATATAGTAAGAACATGTAACGTGTAACAAGCACAACATAAATAATTATGATTCATTGAAAAAGTAGCTAACACTTTATCTAAGACAGCTCAGTCCAGATGTTCCAAACCTAATGATCCAAAGTGGAATTAACTTTATTATGTTAACAGACTGGTGACTGATAAGTTATATTGTCTCTGATGTATTAAGTGCAGAATGAAGAACAGGGATCTGTGATGTGTTTTTCATTGATTAAAGATGGGTTGTTTAACAATGGAAACAAGGGCAGTTTTGTAAAATACAACGAGAATATAGTGCATTCCACATTATATTGTTTCATGTATCTGTCCATCTAGTGAAGATCTAGTCTTGTGTGTGCATGAGAGGTTTAGAAAAGAGCTGGAGTGGGGTTTGATCCAGCATGCAGACCTGTTTCTGACAGACAGAGAGCGGAAGAAGTAGTGCAGCAGGCACACCCATGGGAACTGAAACTCCTGGAAAAATGCTGGGATCTTTGGGAAAAACCGAGCAACAGCTGTGCTTATGTTCTGTAGGGACTGAGAGACACGAGAGAGCGAGGCAAAGAAAGTGACTTATGCTGTGTTTCATTTATTATGTTTAAGTTTATATGGCTCATTCTCAGTCTAATGAGTAGGAATACATGTCAACTGCTGCAGTGATTTTCCATGTAGGTCAACAGAAAAAGAAAACAGCTCTGCATCTGGAGTTACTTATGCCTTCATTCATTTCATTCGTTTTGCTTTTTTCTCCTTTTACTCTGTTCTTATAAGAGGGCGTTTAGAAAAAAAAAAGATTTACGTTTCAGCCACAGAACTGCAAATATACATTCAAGATGACTGATTGTTTTCTTTGACACTGCAAAGGTTTAAAAAGTCTAAAAATATAACTTTTTGTCATATTTTCATCATGCTAAATTCTTAAAGTGTTGAGTGTTGAGTGTTGCTCTTCAAAATCCCTCACAGGTGCTCAAGAGTGTTAATGGTTGGATGAAATGATTGTCCACTGAAGGTTTTGGGAGAATGTATATTGTCATTGGGATGTAAAAAAAATGCCCAGCAATGCAGGGAATGAGGAGAGGGTAGCATCTTCTGTTTCAGGTTTTTCTGTTACATCACATAGTGGTGTATGAATTCATGACAGCATTGATAAAGCACTCATACATCCCTATAGAAGAGCTTTACTACCACTTACCTTCAGTGTGGGAACCAGGCACTTCTCACTGTACTCCTCCTCTAGCAACACCATAACATTTCAGATGATTTACTTCATCTCATGAGACCAGAGTATGGATTCTATAATTTGAATGAGCTGAACGAGTCTATATTTTGTAAATATGGACCTTGTAAAAGGTTAAAAGAGTTTACTGTGCTTTGGCTACAGTAGGTACTAGTTCCTGTGACAACAGCCGCATTTCACTTCTGCACGTTGCATCTTATTGTGTGAGATGAAACAGTCACTCTTTTCATAGATTTTGCTGCCTATGAGACTTGATTGGTATTTCTCCTGCTCTTTTTCTAACAAAAATCACTCTCACAAAATGAAAGCTTAACACGAAGGTCAGATTGTGCTATGAAATAAGTCTCCTTACAATTTTCCCCCAAGTGCTTCTATTACTTCTAAAACGTATTTTCCTGAATAATTTTGACATGCTTCTTTGATAACTGATCAATCAGGCTTTCTCGAATATCATATCTCCAAAGAACCATATTATGTCTTTTAAGTAAAGAGTAATTGCTGAATTTGTCTTCAGCAATTATATATAGTTTTAGCATGTTAATTGATATGATAATTTTAATATCCTGTATAATGCTTACTGCAGAGCAAGCACTACTGCCAATAGATACACAGCCATGCTGCTATAAGCTTATATGTATGCTGTTTCCTGAATAGCATACATAAATCCCATATTGGATCTAGACAGGTGGAGCTGGGGGAGGTGGAGGGTTTCAGAAGTGCTCTGATGTCCACTTACAGCCAACACTGAACCAGGCTATTTAAATGTTGAGTAAACAATATCAATGGTTACAGTATCAGTGGAGGCCAGGCAGTATGTGGGCTGGGGGAAAGCATGTTAATTTGGATTGTGTAAAATGCCAAATTTCAATTTTTCCCATTTCCTGTAGCTAGAATTATACGGTCTCCCCTGGCCCCACAAATCACACTACTTCCACACATACCCTATGATCGACCACCATCAGCCGCATGTAGGACACCCAACCATTGTGGTGTCTGTCTGGCAGCTTGACTGATCCTATCAGTAAGCTATGCATGTGTGTAAGTGCACACAGCCGATACAGTCACATTTAATGTGTCAATTATGGTTCAAAGTGGAAAAAAAATGAACATGCAGACAGAGAGAGTTGACAGACAGCGAAAGTTGTGTGTGTATTTAGGCCATGCCCTACTGAAGAAAAAGCATGTGAGAGTGGTGTTAATGGTCTAAATGAACATGGGTTGACATGAAAAAGTATCAATTTTACCATTTAAGTAAGGAAGTGAAGTCTGCTGTGTTTCACTGACACAGCTAACACTGTGACTATCAGCTCTGCGTAAAATAAAGAAGACTAAAGGCACGGTTCATGCACGAAAGCAATGCTGTAAGAAAGAACAGACCTCTTAAAGATCATTATTTTGTGTATTTGGTGTAACAGAATATGTTGACATGCTTTAATGTTCAAAAAACACATTATTTTTCAAATACTGTACATTATTGTAGGTCCTCTATGCCCCGCCTCTCTCAAACGCTTCGTTTTCTACAAAGTCCCTCCTTCCGACAAGCGCAGTCTGCTCTGATTGGCCAGCTGACCCAGTGCATTGTGATTGGCCGAGCACCTCAAGCACTCGTCGGAAATGTAACGCCCCTTACCATAATCGCGAGCTTCATCTTTCAAAATAAATGTAAAGACAGAGCCCAAAAGGGGAACAGTCGCGTGACAGACACAGTGATGAAGCTGGTATGTGTTTGTGATGTGACCCCCTCTCTCTCTCGCGCTCTGTCTCTCTCTCGCTCTCTCTCGCGCTCTCTCTCATATGACCCCTTTAAGTAGGCCTTAAGCTGCAGATATGATTCCCTTAAGTAAACCTAAAAAAATTGCTGAAAAGTTCAGAGCCTCATAATGTATGGCTTATGTGTTAATTATTTGTGTTACATGGCTCTCTGAAATGCTTGATTCTGATTGGTCAGTCGCGAAGGTCAAGTCTCTAGTCTCTAAAAGAACAACTAGTACCATCTTGCATCTCACTTATGGACTGTATTGAAAATGAAATCAGAGAGTATTAATAGTACTGTAATATTGTAGTGTTGATCTTGTTGCCTGTTGTAAGTGACACACAATAATCACATGCATGTGATCAGCCTCACTGTGCAAACATCACTCAGTGGATGCAGAAGATATGAAACAATTACTGTTTTTCTTTTCTCACCATAAATTTATTGACATGCCATGGCAAAACCATTGGACATTAAAAAAAAATAATATATATATATATATATATATATATCCTTTCGCAATTTATCATCTTCAGTGTCTTGGCATAATATTGATCAAGTTTGGTGAAGTATTTTAAAGTTAACTGCATGCACTTTTCACAAAGTCTTACAAAAAAAGTGGACTTCCTGTTGGGCGGAGCTAATGAATTTCAGGGTAAATGGCTTAAAGTATTACCTAACTTTGCCACCTGTTTGTGCATTGTACATTGAAACACTGTCAATACATTTTGAAATGCCTATAATCTCAAAGTGGCCAAATATTGGCTTTTTCATAGACCGCAGATGTGATGATGTAATTTTGTAGGCCATCCCGTAAGTGAGCATCACCGTGGTTCCCTCGACAAAAACCCAATAGGACTTTTCCGTTGGTTTTTGGGTTATTGCCGGAAAAAAAGCT